CCTGTCTGCAACCTGGCAACGTTGAATCGTTAAGTTAATTTTATCACAACACTGTATTAGTCAGTTTGTTCATCCTACTGCAATCTTCCTAAGTGGAGTGAAACGTGCTTCAGTTTGTGAAAGTCGTGTGAGTTTATTGACTAGCCTTCGAACAGGAAGACCATAAGTTTCATTAATATAATGAAACTGAAGCACGTTTCACAAATCATCGTATTTTCAATATTCGTTGCATGAAAAAACAAATTATCCCTAAATATCTTTGCATACGAATCCCAATATATACTGACAAAATCGAAAGGGCAATAAAACATGTCAGTAAACTATGTCTGAAAGAAGAAATTCACAGGATTATTAAGAAATTAAGTACCGTTTGGAATAAAATTGAACTTAAATGTAAAATTATGAAGATCGTAAACTGCAGAGACTATGGATTTATAATAGAAACAACAGGCAAAGTAAGACTAGCTACTTTCAAAAAATCTAGAAGCAATCAAATCAAAAAGTTCAACAAACTAATGCAAGAAAAATATCCTTCGGAAAACAATGAAATTACAAAGGAAACATCATCGAACATCGATAGAACAAAGTGGGTAGTCAATCTCTCCTCGAAAGCCTTAAGCTCAGCTGAGATGAAAGTACTGGAAAAAGGACTAAACTTCAATATAACAGTAGATTATCTAAAACCAGAAGATGTCATACCTAGCATAGAAGTAGCATTAAGTTCGATGGACATGACAACTGCTGAACAGGTTAGAGCGCAGTGTGCGTTAGCACTAAAAAAACAAAAGAAGACAGCGAAACTTAACGAAACTGGAAAATTCAGCTCTAAACAATCTACGAAATGATAATAGTATAGTGATTGCTAAATCTGACAAAGGTAACTCAACAGTAGTTATGGACAAATCGGATTATCTTAAAAAAATGGATGAACATATCCAAACAGGGCCATATGAAGAGATTAAGAAACCTATAGATACTGTCATGAATAAAATTAGGAAATCTACAACAGATCTGATACGCCGACTTAAGCCATCGAAAGGTAAGTCCGAATGGTTTACTTTAATGCCAATTCTAACAGGTATCTAGACTTCACGTCATCTCATCCAGTGTCAGTTAAAGCGGGTTAAGTCAAATGTCTAAATAACAGAGCTAAGAAACTCACTAGTCATTGTAAGGACTTAAGTAAGGAATTGAAACACATAAAAGAAGCGTTAATAGTTAATAATTATCCCCATCATTTTATTAAGAAATTCACACAAACACATAAGAAGCAAAATAATAACAGTAATAGAAATAATAGCGACAACACAAGTAGAAAGGAAATCAACACCTCTATTGTGATACCATACAAGGAAGGAACATCAGAAACCATACGTAGGATTCTCAACAAGGTTGGAATTAGAGTGGCATTTAAACCAACAAACTCACTTAGAGGTAAGCTTTGTCGGCTAAAAGATACGATAGAACCAACTAGGCAAAATAATATAATCTACCAAATTCCATGTAATGACTGTGAGATCAAATACATAGGCCGGTCGGGGTCAGTCAGATTAGCAGAACATAGGAATTTAGCTAAACATAGAACAACAGATCAATTTTCTAGAAAAACACTCGGCCATTGCATTACATTCATTAACACACAACCACACAATAGGGTGGGACAAAACCACTGTACTTAAGTCTAATATAGCTAGGTGGAGGGAGAGAGATTAATTACTGAATCTTTGTTCATCGAATCCACACCCAACACATGTAATGGGAATGACGCAACACCTATACCAGAGATATGGAAAACTTTACTACCAATCAAAAAAACAAAGAAAAATCAGGTGACAGGACTATAAAATCAGATATCGAAAGAAGTGTGATTACATTGATATGATTATGAGTAATGATAATTTATGCTCGAAACGTAATCAAGTAAATAATACTGTATCACTGTGCGCTATATATCAAATAAACAAATCTAATTTGGAATAAATCCATGAGAATAAGTGAAATACAATAGCCAAAAGAAAGCTAAAATTTTACATTATGCCTTATTTCGGCTATTGTATTTCACTTATTCTCATGGATTTGTAACTGTAGAACCTGAAGAAGGAAAAGTTACCGAAAACATTTCTTTGCTCAAATTATTCTTGTTCTGCATAATATGTTTGCAGAGCTCCGGTTATGATAATATTATTTTATTTAACATTTACGGAAATGCTGCTCAATGACTTAAACATCCGACATCGAAGCAATGGATAGGAGGTTGAAAATTCTTTCCCCGTATGCGGGTTTGAACAACCATCTGGCATGCAATCCCTTGAACAATAAGTATGGTTAACAGCCTGGTAATTAGACATTGATATTGAAAAGCATATAAATGTAACCTGAAAAAGGTATTCTAGCGAACAATAAGAGTGCTTCGAAATAAGTGTGTCACAGAAATAACTAAACTGTTCGAACGTTCGCAATGAGCTACACTTGTACTATGAGAACTGATGATGCTACTTAGCTGCTCAAACCACGGCGGGTTTCGAACCCGTAACCCGATGATTGAGAGTCCAATGCCTACATCAGTAAGCTACAACTTGACCCTAAAGAGAAATATATGCCAAATGCTTTGTAATTTCTGGTGGTTGTTCAGGTTTCTTTATCATAAAGTGTGGTATTGCAGACGCAAACCTTAAAAAACAAGTCAACTTCATAGTTTCTCCTGATAGCTTTCAAGACGATGACAACAAAGTTATTGACGTTCGAAACTGACACCACCAACCAAGTGCTTCCCTCAGAAAATGAAATTTCTAACCCTAACACTTTAATGAAATGAATCCTGATGATGCTACTGCTGTGTATTGCACGTTATATAAACTAACGGGTAGTAGACATTATGAAGTGACTTTTATGACAAGAAATCAATAACAGTCTTGATCTACGCTTGCATAACGTGGGTTATCTTGAGAATTTCGATTGCTCCCAACTACAATTAATCCTGCTATCTTAATGCTCATATTTAGTGAAGGTAATGTGTAAGTAATCCTGAAATCTAGGGTGATAAATGTCTAAGCATTCTGCAGGTTGTTAGTCAGTTAGTGAAACAATCATAACTACGATCTTACAAATAATATTTAATAAGACATTTCAAAAACGACTATGTGATCGACATTTGTGTTTTTCTCATACATAAGCTTCATCTATACTGGTACAGTTCCACACATACACAAAGCAGAAATGATTGTAACTATTCACACATTAAAATATCTATCTTTTAATGTCAATAACTGTGTATCCCATTGATTCATAATTCTACGGCCACCTGAAATTTTAGAGCATGTAATGTCACTTTCTCCCTGGCAGTTTCCAACTCAATGATTGCATAAAAAACCTGAATGCATTGGGCTGCTTGGTGTTTTTTAAATGGTTTTGAATTTCTGTACACAAAGGTTCCACCGAAAGACAATATTTGTTCCTTGTAGAGATATAATAAATACTATAATAACCTAAACATTGGTATAACTTAAATCCTATTCGAAAGAATTGCTGTTTACATAGAATTTCAACGCACAGGTCACATTCAAGGGAGCGATCTACAGACAAACGTAAATGCTAATGGTGCATCATTTAGCTTACTGTTGACAGCTTGCTTCATGCATAACTTTGGAAACACCTATAGTAAGCCAGTGGACTAGTGTACGGAAAAAAATAAGCTTATAACATTTTAATAAACTGCCACGATGACCCTGATATGAATCATCAACCATAAATACTCAACATCAGCTATCCTTCAATTAAATTCATATATGGAGTTGAAAATATTGTTTCTGAATGCATTGTTAACCAGGAAAAAAGTGAACATCAAGAATATCTTTCCACAGAAAGCCTGTATGGAACACTCAGCCAACATATTTTACTAATCGAATGCCCATACGCTCTAAACAAACTTCTACAATGTTCGTTTTTTTCCACTGTATTCGACAAATCTGCACTTCTGATTGTTAAGAGGAAGAGAAAGTGCTTCATAGGAAAATTCTGATTGAAAACAAATAACCAGAAAGGATGGTGGGCACAAACATAAGACCGAAACCATACAAGGAAGAACTGACAATCATATCGAAAAAGATACCTTACACAAATTCTGAAAACAATTTCGGTGCTGTTATCCTGAAAAAGATTTCCAACTCTCTGGAAAGAACTTCTTTTACATCAACCTCGCTCGATGAGCATTCTTTACAAAACGGTTCTAAAACATTAGTGGATCTGTTGGAATCGCGATCGGTTAACATGTCGTTAACACTGAGCACAGTATCACAACAGACTCTTTATTCAAAATCATTTACTAAGCGAGAAGTCAAAAAAGATGAAACGTTCTCAATTACTTCGAACTCAGAATCCCTTGGTATGTATCTGGAGAAGCCAGAATTATACATACGAAAAAAATTCCAATCCCTGGTTTCATTATGATAGTGATATTCAAACTCCGAAAGTCACTTTAATTTAAACTGGGTTTTTAATTTTCATTCACGTATACCATTAGCTTCAATACCACTGTCTTCATGTTACTCCCATGCTTTCATTAATCACTCTTTATCGTTAAAACACAACTTTGTGTTGAGACTTGCTAACCCCTCAGCTTCCGTGCTATTTCACCTTCCATACAACTTAATTTCTCTTGGGAGAAAAAAGTGTTGTTACGACCTTTTTTTAGCTTTGTTCTTGTTACTATGTACAACAACAATAAAACTATGAGGAACAATAATACTATCCTGGATCGAAATGCATAAAATTGCGATTCTACAGTTACAGAGGATGAAATCACTGGAGATCTCTTCAATTATCTTTGAGTCTTCTCTCTAATTCGCTAACGGGTAGTTTTATACCTACGACAAAGTTGGTGTTTAGTGAGACACTATACATGTTCTTGTGATACACACGATCAATGAAATATTAAGTTTTAAGTATCAATTATTCAAAGAAGAGACTTCTTAAGCAAAGACAAAGATGGTTGACTATCTTACATGGAATATAAAGTGAATCGATTACTGATGGACCTGAACGATAAAATATATAGTCTAATCTTTCCCCATTTCCATATTCACTTGTCCATAATTGATTTCGATAAGGGTTATCAGCTCGATCACACGTACATCCATCCAATTCGAGACTAGCAATATTTGGATTTTTTTCAACTATCGCCTATAGTAACAGAGAAGAGTAAACAATAAATCAATCGAAATAAATGATCATAATAAGAGAGGATAAAAAAAAGCTGGAAATATGTATTAACGGTGTGTTATATGTAACAACTACTTTCCCACGAAAGTATAGATTTGAAGCTCGGTGTTTCCAAGCTTTGATATTTGTCCTTGGACATTTTCAACATCAGGCTACGTGACTTCATTACCACTTACTTTGCATGAAATAACACTGAAATGTCACATTTTCGTCGGTTATAGCAGATGGCAACCTTGTCTTACCACTGTCTTCACTTCAAAGGCGTTACTGAGCTTTCCATTGTGAGTCACTTGGCATGTGGAGTCTTCATATAGCTATTGAATGAGGTTGATAAAGATTTGTGGCACTAAAACCATAGTGTTGAAGCAGTTGCCAGATTACTTCTCGGTCGACGATGTCGAAGGCCCTCTCAACATCGATGAGGTTGAGGTACAGTTGAGTTGACTGGTATTCTATACTCTGTTCTGTGATGTGTAGAGTTGCAATTTGACCCGCACATGATTTGTTCTTCCTGAAGGCAGCCAGCCTGTTCCGGTCGTAATTTTGAATCCAGAGCATTTTTTAGTCTCTCAAGGATGACGCGGCTTAACATTTTGTCTGGGATGAACAGGGGTGCAGCATGATTCCACGCCAGTCCTTGCAAGGACATAGGTCATCCTTCTTTGGCAAGATTAAAAGAGAGATTAAAGGAACTACAATGGGGTCACCGATATCCGGACTAATTGCAGAAGCAGTAGTGCAGAGACGAGAAGCCACAATCTTACCTGTGACTAGACCAAAAATTTGGATTCGCTATGTAGACGACACTTTTGTCATCATTAAAAAGAGAGTGTAGAAAACATTCACAGTTCGATCAACAACGTTTTCAATAACATCAAACTCACAAAGGAGAAAGAATCGAACAACCAACTACCATTTCTAGATATTTTAGTAAGTAGGAAAAATACTGCAGGCTGGAAATCCAAATATACAGGAAGCCAACACACACTGACCAAATCCTCAACTACAGTAGTAGCAACCCAACGACACAAAATCAGTTGCGTGCAGACTCTATTCAAAAGAGCAAGAACACACTGTAGTACAACGACTTCAAGGAGAAAGGAAGAAAATTACTTGATGTCCATCCTAAAGAAGAACGGCTACCCACGAAACTTTATCAGAAGATGCCTATCCCGTGCATCATCAACTACATAGTCATCGACAGAAATCAACAAACGCATCGTCCCACCATACATAAAGAATATATCAAAAATCACGACAAGATTGCTGAGACCACTTGGAATTGGTGTGGCTCATAAACCAACAAATTCCCTCCAAACACTATTATGAAGACCAAAGGATGCAATAACCGAATATCTTTTACAAAACCAACTGAAATAACTGTAGTCAACATTACATTGGACATAGTGGCCGCCCTCTTCGCCTTCGTATACATGAGCACCAATTGGCTATTAAACGCAACGACATTTCGTCACTTATTTTAATGCACGTGGATAATTGTGGACATGAATTCAATTTCGACAATGTAGAAATTTTGGACAGAGGAAGGAGAAAGAATATCAGGGAATTCCTAGAAGCTTGGCATTTAGGTCAGTCACCAATCAACAGATGTATAGACATAGACCCGATCTATCAACCAATAAGAAAAGTGATAAACGACGGAAAGGTCAGAGGTCAGATGGAGGAACAGCCAACAGTAAAATCTATACAATCAATGACACAACAATCAAAGGAAACAACCAATCACAAACCAGTTCGTTAGGGCAGGCTACTAAATCACTCATGGAGAGATATTGACAGCTCACTTCATACTGAAGTTAGTGCTGATGATGTCGCTTAGTAAGACGATGAGAGCTCCACGACTAAACAACCCAGCTCAGAGAACACAATACAACCAAGAATGCTAGTACTATTTAAACGCTCGACTGTCTGTAGGAAAGTGAGATTTCAGTGTGTGCAAAACTTACTTACGAATAGACGAGGGACTGATGACATTTCTGCCAATAAATCTCTGATGTGGCCAAAATTCTCGCGTTCATTCATTCACTCAACATAAAATACACTTTAAGTAGAAATGCTGCAAAAAACAGCTGCACTGACACCTAGAAAGAATGTCCTTTCTTTCAAAACCAAAGGGATTGTAGGCAAAATACAAAAGGACAATCAAACTGTCCTTCATCTCTTATTCAGCTACACTGCTTGTATTCCCTGTTGAAATTTTTTAAGATTTGAACAACGAAAAGGTTTAATATTTTGCATTAGAAGGTATCGCCATTCAAGTCACTAATAATCTGGTGAGGGAAATCGTTCACCTTCCAAGTTGGACAGTAAAATAGGTCAGATTTATCAGGGTATTATTAAATTGAAAGTGATTCTTATTAAGGAAGACTATTGGAAGCTCCAGAGTACTGGGCAGCTGTTTCGTCCCAACCTAAGACTCTTCAGTTGATGTCAATCCGAGATGAAGACTACTTTTAAGTTCATAAATGGTCGAAAAGCAACAACTGAATATTACTCATTATCATGTGCAAAATATGCGCGGTAAGCATTTTTATGAGTTGAAATTTTCCATGGAAGTGCTACTGACATTACTGCCAAGAAAATTACTCCAACAATCAAAGGTCTGAAGTCAGTAGGTATGTAATGGCCTTGTGGATACTACTTACACATAATTTGATCGTATATATAAAACACAACACCTAACGATGGATATTTTGCATACAAGTAAGTTTTCCATACGATGCTTTGAAGACTATCATAACTACAATAGACGTAAGAACCTCATAAAAACGAAGGCTAGTTCACAATGAAAAGAACACCGTTCAGGCTGCGAAAAGGCTTGACATGGCCAGACTAAAACTTGGTACCAATGCACGAAGTGCTTCACTGTTCGTTTGAGCCATGTAGGGCGACGCAGACTAGCTGGTTAGGGTCCGCGAGACAAGAGAAATGAGTGGCTGGAGACTCTAGGTGATATGGAATAGAACCGATGTCTTTGGCACAGATGTATACATACATTATCCTCATCTTAACAGTTATACTGAATCTAATCATTTCCTCATCCCTCTCTTTACTTTTTTCTAATTATTTTGACCGATTTTTCTTTCTTTCCTCATCTTTCATCCCATTACCTTGATGTGCTGATATGAGGTGTGGCAACTTGAACCGTGAAGCAGTAATAGCTGGCCATATGCTGATCTTGATGATGAGGGTAAAAATATATGTAGTATTTGCTAACCGAATATCTTGTAAGTTGGTTTTCGTAGTTGACTTTTACTCTGCTATACTACTTATATAGTAGTGGTAGTCAAACTGATAAATGTGTGCATTCAATACTTCCTCATTTGCCATCATTTTCAGTTGGTAGTACTCAAAGCTATTAAATACAACCTTTCTATGAAAGACTATGAAATCGGTGCTTTCGATGACTAGTTATTCCAGTAGTAAATAGCATATATATATATAGGCAGGAATTCCTGCTTGACCTAGGTTTGGTGCTTTTCGGCACTCATCAGCAAACTCAAGGGAACTCGTGTTCCGCCCGGGATTCGAACTCACGCCAAGCAGTGTTGCAGTCAGAAAGGTAAACATTCAGCTATTCAGGCCGCGAATGACAGTCGTGTACTACTGGATTAAGCACACTGATTGGTCACTAGGTAACCAACTTTATATCGTCTAGTCCAATGTGCTGATTGAATTCCATCGATATTATATCAATCACCTTTTTTCAAGCCTAAATATTACGAACTGATAAATCTGTTATTTCTATGAACAAAAGAAAAACACAAATGCAGAGCCTGCTTATGGTTACAGGTATCCACCAGGCCTCTAGACAATTCATGCACGTAAGATTATACACCAACTAAAATGTGGACACAATCACTTTATTGTGCTAGCAAAAAGCAAAAGAGATATAAGTGGTAAGAAAACATAGAAATGAATAGCCATAAGACAAAGAATGAATACATCTACTCTACCATGATCGATTTCCAGTTACATTTCACAATAAATTAAAAATTAAAAAAGGTGTTTATGATCAAGTTACGATTGAAGTGAGTGAAAATCTTGTTTGTTAGACACTTCTGGCTTAATCTAGCTACATGTCCACCAATGATACCAATTATTAATCAATGGAATCAATAATTTGATTGATTAAGCAAGTTTTTTTGTATATTAGCATATCGATAAGTTCTAAATGGCAGATACGGTGAAATATTCCTGCCTGATATAGAAAACTTGTATTGATCCAGTGTTTGGATCTAACATTACTTTAAGCATAGGTAACGGCTGTTATCATTACCACTGATAACGACACAGAAAAAGCCGATAAATACACGCAAAACAATGCTTGATTCTAATTGGCTACAACGTCCACTTATAAAATAAACAAGGTTCTATTTTAGTCTGTTTATTAGAAATATCATACAGTGAAACAGTAGCATTTACTGGATAACGTTTTGGACACAATTTATTGTCCATATTCATATCAGGTAACTCCACAACTTCGAGACAGTCTTTATATATTCCTAGTTTTCTCTCCTCAGTGATGACAAGGATAGTAGGATTTTCCATATATCTGGGACAGGTGCAGCATCATTTTGATTGCATGTGTTTGGTGTTGATTCGATAAACAAAGATTCGGTTATAAATCTCTCCTTCCACCCAACTAAGTTAGTTTTCAAAACTGTCACCCTATCCCACCCTACTGTGTGATTGTGTGTCGTCGCATGCAGAGCTATAGCCGAGTTTTTCTCTAGATTTCTTATCTCGTTAGGATCTACTGATCTTGATTTAGCTAAGTTTTTGTGCTCTGTTATTCTAATCGACCCTGGTCGACTGCTTTAACCTATGTACTTGACCTCGCAATCATTGCAAGGAATCTGGTAAACCAGATTATTTTGCTTAATTGCATCGATAGGATCTTTTAACCTACAAAGCTTGTTTCTAAATGAGTTTGTTGGTTTGAATGCCACTTTAATCCAAGCCTTATTGAGAATTCTTCGCAGTGCTTCTGAGGTGCCTTCCTTGTATGCTAACACAGCAGAGGCTTTGAATTCTCTCTTAACCCTGTCGCCATTATTACCACTAGTAGTGGGATTATTATTAATAACATCTGTATTACTACTACTACTACCACTGCTAATCTTTTCCTTTCGATTTCTTATGAATTTATTGATAAATTTTGGTGGGTAATTATTGAGATGTAGGGTATCCTTGATGTGTCCAATTTCTTGTCGCAGATTTTCCGATCTACTAGTAAGCTTTTTCGTTCTATCACCTAAGCATTTAACTAGGCCTACTTTAACTGAAATGGGGTGAGAGGATTCGAAGTCTAAGTAGCGATTCGAATGGGTAGGTTTCCTATAGACACTAGTCTCTAGATTTCCTTCTTGTGTTCATTTAATCTTGCAATCCAACATTGCTAGCTCACCTTCTTCACTTTCTAAGTCATAGGTAAATTGGATTGCATTCACTACTGAATTTATATGTGCCAAGAACCTATTGATGTGTTCCGATTTCAGTACTGTAAACGTATCATCTACATATCGGAACTAAATGTTTGAAGGGCTACCTGTTCCCAACTATCCATAAATATGTCTGCGACGATAAGGGATATTGGTGATCCCATGGCAACAACTTCAGTTTATTTATATATTTTATTTTGAAGCTTAAAAACTGTAGATGTTAAGCACAATCGTACTCCTAGTATGATTTCCTCGATCGGCAGCTTAGTTCGCTGCGTAAGTTCTTTGTCATCTTTAAGCCCATCAATCAATTTCCACTATCATCAAGACGACTGGGTTCACTAAAGTTATCGAATGTATCAATTTCAACCTATTGAATTCAGGTTGTAACTTTGTTTTGTCAGTCTTTAAATTTCCTGTGAAATCTAAGGTCAGAGGGGGAGGAGTAAAAGAAGAGTTACTGCTGCTTAACTCTTTGAAAGTGAGTCAAAAAATATCGAGAAATTCAAGTTATCATAATGAACTCTGTCAAAATTAGTGCGGTAGACATGCATGTAAGGGTTTATTTCTGTTTACTATGAGTTTTGTTTTGTCTGCATAGATCAAATAGGAACGTGTTTTAAAAATACACTGTATGTAGGTGTTCGTTTATTTCGTCAAAAACAAAACTTACATTGTTAAGCCATGCATCAGATAGCTTTAAAGATGTGCGAAACAGTTCAATGGCTGAAGTATCCGATTCCAGATTAAAATCCCCAGTGATAATGATAGCATCGGAACCAGTCGAAGTCATACGAATAAATTCCATGACTTCAATTAACTGGGAAATTCTATGCCCATTGTATTTATCCAATGTACGATTCAATTCGTAACGAGCTATCAGCTTCAAATATTAAAGAAAAAAACATAAAAATGCAACTGAAAATAAAATCAATTCACAAAATTCAAGTGAAAAGAATGATTATTTTTTTTAACCTATGTGGATACTGTTTATTATTCTCTCGACTAATTTGTACAGCTATAATGCAAGGCTACACACCCTCACCCAAGAAACATTGAAACATTCGAAATTCTCCTGTTTTCTTTCTTTAACGTTGTTTTTCCAAAGCCTTGACTCTAAAAAAGCATACATGAATTCTATCCACCACGTTTAGTGTTTGCATACTTATTACATAACGTGAGGACAATTTTCTATTTCAAAAAAGTGTAAGTTTTGTAAGTTTCCTGATATATAAATAAGTTTTTTTAACTTCGGTAATTTACTTGATTGTGATTAGCAGAAGAATCCGGGACGCTAATCAACAATGAATTTTAGTGTGATAAGTTCTCAGTATGTATTTAAGTCTGATAAGCAGGTTCATAGAAATAGGGGACAGAGAATAAAACTGTATCTTTTAGAAAGTTGGCACCTTTCTCAACAGTACAGATAGTAGAAATCCAAACCATAGGAACAAGTCATAAACAAACAAGAGGAGTGAAATAAAAAAAAGATAAACAAATGGAAGTGCTCAAGGTTTATAGAAAGATAAGAAGTGAACTCAAGTGAAATCCATCCACCCGTCCAGATCAACCTAGGACCAGGCATTACTGCGTAACGGTCCAAGTTGCCACACCTCATATCAGTACATCAAGTGAAAAGGCAACGAGGCGCAAGATGAAGATAAGAGAATGTAGTCAGAAGAAATATTAAGTACGAAAAGAGAGAAACGAAGGATGAGAAAGTGATGAGATTCAGTATAGCGTCGTTAAGATGAGGATAGTGTATGTATGCATCTGCGGTTCTGAGTCATATAACCAAGAGTCACCAACCACTGGTTCCTCTTGTCCCGCAAACCCCAACTACTTAGTCTCCATCGTCCCACATGGCTCAAACAAACAGTCAGAGACTTCATACATTGGTGCCATGTTTTAGTCTGGGCACCTCAGGCCTTTTTCCAGCCTGGACCTACTTCAGCCAATATTGTGTGACGAGGCAATCGGTGACTAGGCATACGTAGTACGTGTCCCAACCATCTCAGTCGATGAAGGTTCACAACCTCGTCAACCGACTTACCTCTTCTCCCTAAAACTATACTCCTGACTTCTGCGTTACTCACGTGGTGACACCACGGAATACGGCCTATACTACACACTCAAGTGAAATATTGTACTTCATTTTGAGTCTTTCACTTAAGGTCCCAAGCCACTAATTTTTAGCAACATGACGATCCCAACCAGGAAGTCGAAACCTTTGGAGACTGGTGTTGTGTCTTTACAGAAACATGCTTAATAACTCCCTATCCCACCCTTACTTCAACCATCACCTTCCATTAATGCCTTAAAAATGCATCGTACTTGTTTCAACCTCGTTCACTGATGTTTACGTCAAAATGATCAGTGCTTCTAGATGCAACCATAAAATAATACGGTGTACAGTATTCGGCATGTTATGAAACATTCTCGTCATTTTCGATTTACTTTAATTCATATTTCAATCATGGCTTTTATCATATCCTCTTCCATTCTTCTACCATTCATTTACACACTTTGTGCACTATCTTTCATCAAATTTTCTACCACGTTGAACTATAATCATACTCCTCCACCACCACTACATCCTATTATTTTCTGTGTTTACTGATCGATTATGTCGTAAACTTTGTCCTTTATCTCTGTTCCCATATATATGTGAAGGCTAGTAAAAATATTGAAGGTTTAGAAGAAGTCAGAGTGAACACATTTGTACCATTGTGACCGATTTTCAGGTATTCCACCAACAGTTCTCAACCACTGATTCTTATCGTCTCAGGGACCCCAGTCAGGTGGTTTACACCTCCACACACGGCTCAGACCAACAGTCAGAGATTTCATAGATTAGAACCACATCTAGGTCCAGTCACCCTGGACCTTCTTCCAACTTATTCCAACTACTTCAAACATTGCACATAGAGGTATGCGGTGGCTCGGCATGCGCAATAAACATCCAAGCCACCTCAGCCGCTGAAGGTTCAGAACCTCACCGATTAGTTTTCAATGTACTTAAACTAAGTTGTAAACGTTAGTTGTTTTACAAATAACAGATTGAAAGATGAACCTGATATGACGAATTAATTAAAACAACTTAGTCGTCACAGAGATTCTAACAATATGTATTCATCTGTTACAGAAAAAAAAATACCTTTGACAATAACGAATAGAGAGCAAAACAAGACTAACTATTTTAGCAATAACCTTCAGTGAAGTGAATTAAATTACTATCCTTCAAATTACTACTGAATGAAAACGAGATAAGACTAATCAACTGATTAAGATTCCAAATGTTACAGCAGAAAATGTTCCACAGTTCAAGACTGTCTCACCACAAATACACTTAATTCATTACCTAGAATATCAAATTTCCTACATTATGAATCACATGTTTAAAGCCCCATACTGCATTCAAATAAGAGATATAAGCAGACACATCAAGTTACTTCATAATTATTGTGGAACGCTTAAATACTCAATATACTCACCATCTAAACTGAAGATGATTCTTGCTGCATGATCTCAATGTGATAAGTAGTTCATTCAGTAGCTGAGGTCAGACTTTCATGAAAGGAAGACACCACTACCTCAGTTCAGATCAACTTAATTAAATGTTAGAAACAGGTGGATATTCGACATAGAGTTTACACTTAAAAATCTGCAGGTGGTTAGTCCAAGAGACAGATGAACCAACGAAGAAGCTGGTACAGATATGCATCAATTCATTGCTATACTTCACAGCATACAAATAAGAAGTGAAACAAAAGAGGGTGAAGTTTATTTTAAGCCGAAAGGACAAAAAAGGAAGGTTGGTGCAGATGATCAAATTTTCAAAGATAACGAAGAGTATATACGTTTGTACCATTATAACCAAATTTAAGTTACATCGTCAAAAGCCTCCAACCATTGATCCTCATCATCATAAAACCCTTGCCATGCAACCTTACACTGTCTGTGAGGACACTTCGTGACTTTCGTTGACGTAAATATCCAATTGAACAACCAAGTGCAAATGTGTTCTACGTTACCAACCGTACATGTTGTATTGATAATTTAAACATCAGTAGGTAGAGATCAATTAGGATAAGAGACCCAATGGATGAGACACAGGTGTATGTACTGAGGAGATTCTACTGATCCCCACCAGTCCCTGTCCACTGCTAGACATAACTTCGGAGTGATAATTTGCCACCCAAAGTTTAAAGTATAACTTTTAAAGAGCAGAAAGCTATGTTATGAAAATTTTTTAATTTAGATTTTCGTCAAGAGTGCAAATCACGATGTTTACTTTATAAGTAAAATATTTTTATGTAACGTTTCTTTTGTCTTACGAAGTGTTATAATTACACATTAATTAAACTAAATCATAAAGTGACCTAAGTGAAAAACAGTCTTGGAAAAAATAACTTGAATATATATTCTCGGAAAGAAAGTCCTAAGTGTTTTCCTTTTTAATATTTCATGAACATACGAAAAAGGGGTTGCGCATACTCAGAAGTAATTTAGCATAATAATAAAACACTTCATGTGCTCTACTCAGCAGCTGAAATTCAAACAATTTTAGGAATGTAATAGCTCTTGAAATACGTGTTACTTAAACACAATGAGAACTTTGCAGCATGCTTTCACGTTGGAAGACAGTAAAGATCACAATACGTAAACCTAGACTTGTTACAGTATACACTACATGAAATATCAAGTTTAACGACAATGATAAAGTAAAAACGTTTCATTCGAAAGCACAGTGATTTAAGAAACTAGAATCTACAACAAAACAGAGAGAATGAGTAGAAGTAAGGTGATGCTAAAATGAACAAGAAAGATACTGGAGAAGAAAACACAAAGGAACTACAACTGATAATATCCAGAATTTTGAAAACAACAGCAAATACACTAGCGCTACTCTGACTAATTTTGAGTCATTAAGGATCATCCACTTTTGTTGCCTAATACCATAACGATTGCAGTAGGACAACTCAGATTAAGTCAATTACTTTATATGTCTTTGCTACGCCTTGACCGGATAACACGGTCTTTCTTTAGCCTAATGCTGTTCTATCTTGCATCCGGTGAACAAGTTGATGACTGTTCACAATCCCTATCATCTTCCTCAAGCACTTGAATCGCTACAATTGGGGTTTAACGTAATTAAACTTGAAATAAACATGAGCATGAGTGACACGTCACTTAGCGCATTGGTTGGCTAATCACATTTCTGTCAAAAATGAGGTTGAATGTCAAGAAATAGGCCAATTTTTTAGCTAACAGATTTCTGTAATCTGCAATATGAACGTCTTTCCATTAAATTTAAGAACACTGCCATTGAGACCAAGACAATGATGACACTGCTAGTGATCCACATATATGTACCATAATAGAGCTAATTATAGGGCTTAAAAATACTCAGAACTACTACACTAATCCCAATGTCTGAGGGAATAACTACAGACTCCCATCAATGAATCTATCAAATGAAATTGATAAACTGAAAACATGTTACAGTTTCCCATTGTGTTGCCAGACTTAAGTACAGTTCTTACCAACTATTATACAATGCAGTCATGAGGATTTATTTCTTTTAAAAAAAAAGCGTAGGCTTTTTTCTGTTTATTTGTTGTTCAAAATAACCTTAATTTGATTACTACACCATTTTTAACATCCGTAGCAAAATAAGGAATACAAAAGTGATGGGAATGATTTGTAGCTCAGGGTGAGGATGAATACGAAAGTGTCTAAGCCCTTTCTATATCTGTTGATTGGATATTGCATTATTCCACGGAAACTTGCTCACCTCCTACAATTAGTACAGAACATCTAGAAGTTTAATTGGGATTGTAGTTGCAGCCACACTGAGAAGCACTTAAAGTTACCAAGCACATTTATTTGAAACTCAACTGCCTAGCAAAACGTTAAGTAAAAACAGAGCTATGTGGAAGACAAAAAGTTGGTACTTATTACAACAAAAAGACGAATGAAATGGTTTTTATATGTTTCTTGAGCTTAGAATATCTACTCATTCAATGCAATTTTGATCACATCCAGATTTGATTGCTTTCGAATCATTTTACTTCATAAATGCACAACTCGATAAGTAAGTTAAAAATGTGCTTACAACACGTTTCCATCAAATTCAAAATCTCCATCCAGAAAAAAAGATCACTCCTGCACGAAAGTGCATCACTTGTTCGAGATGTACATCACGACAGTAAAAAGGCGGGTGGGAGAAGAAGAGGTATGGAAGTGGACAAATAGTGCTCAGAAAGAAGGAGAACCAAAATATATTGCCTATCAAGGTGCCCGTTAACCAATAGCTTTTATTCGACTAGTCGGTGGTGATTATCAGTCAGTCAACTGGTTGATAAATTAGTGGGGTAGGAAATGTTTCGGTGGAAAACTGCCCTCTTCTACCAAAGATTTTAGTTATAAAAAATCCTGGAGACTCGTAGGTGTAATTATTTACCACGACTTGAAAGATGATGAAGATGGTAAGTGTACTGAAAAGCTACCCGTTTTTAAAAAATGAGCACAACCGGTTTTTGATGCTTACATTAGCGCTGTAAATTTGTTGACAATTTTCAGTTTAAGATCTTATGCAACTTTCCTTAGGTATAAGACAGGCGCAAATAAATACCACCTTTTGCTAACAGAAAATCCTTTACTTGAAGGAATCGGTTTTGGCTGCTCTTTCGATAAACACGTCAAAAAATGGATATATTTTTTATTTATAAACAAAAAACACTGGTCACTGGATTTAATGCCAATAACTGATTACGACTAGAACATACTTCAGATCGCACATACATTCATAACAGTACTCATCTTGAGGAAGCATCAGTTTAACCCTATTTATACTCTTTCTCAACTGGTGCCTATCTCTCAGAACAAAATGTTACAGGTATACTGCTAACTCAAATAATCCAACTGTAAGCGATAAACATATTGTTTCTTATTAACAACGGTACTCAAGTGAGAAAAATGTTTTTGAAAGCTAAGTTGTGAAACATTTATGACACATCAGGAAATAGGTAAAACGTAAGCTACATTACTGACATATCAAGTGATTTCTACGTCTTGCAACAATCGCTTATTAAAACGAAATCAAAAATACTTGATTGTACAGATAGAAGTTAACTAGTTATCTTTGAAAACAATCATCTCAAAAGTTACTATAATAATGAAGATTTAAAGTGTTACACATGAACCTTGCTTTATTATGTTTATTATGAAAAATGTTTGTACATTAATGAAGATTAAATGGTACAAAGTGGTACAAAAAAACCGTTAAAACCTTAATGAACTAGAATACTCTTCCCTTTTCAATCATGACACTGAGGTAAGAATTTAGAAAATAAATAACCAAATGTTGGTCAACGCAGTTTCAGAGAAGTATAAACGGCTTGAGAAGATGTACCTTAGAGTTCATATAAAACCAGAATCCATTTTAAAAGTGTTGTTAAACTCCCTCGTTCCATACACGATCATACGTATATCAGAAGCCTCACACAATAAAGAGAGAAGTAGGCAGGCAACAGATATTTTTGCTATAGTGACAAGTGATATATTGAAACCAGTCCATACTAGTAGTGGAAATTGAACTGGACATAAAATCAAACGCGTGTCATTTCCTAATAATTAATATCAGGAAGAACACTTTTCAGATTGATGTATGCCAAAAGTAACAAGTTAAATATGCCATAACGAATAAATAATTTAAAATTGGTAAGATCAAGTGTACACGTAAAGGTGAATATGTGAAAACAGACACTAACTAGCTTACATGTGTTACATATAAGTTAATTCTGAACCCTTCTTTAGATGTGACGCGAGCAAGCCCGATACCTTTACCACAGTAGTAATCCGCTTGGTGAATCAGATGGGGATATCCGTTAGCCGTGAAGGGGTGGGTGAACACACAATCCATCGGCCACTTGCAAAAGATACACATTCCAGTACCTATTAGATTACTGATAAACAGTTACGTAGTTTCACAAACAACTTACCAGTAAAAGTAGTTAGAGTATGGGTACTTGTCATTTAACAAACACCGAAGTTTATCATAGTCTGCATCAAGCCAAATCTGCCAAAATATTGGTCACACAAGCAGATTGGACTACCTCTTGTAGCAATATGATATCGAAATCACCATACGATAACTTCAGCGCAATTGCATTCAGTCGGTCTTCTTTTCTCACAGTCGAGGATGGGAAAAACACGGCCCTTGAGGGTAAGCGAATGAAAAGTATACAAACCAGCAGTTAAATGTCAAAACCTTGAATTTTTCTTCAACCATAACTTCATGCAGTGAGATATTGTTTACAGGAGACAGACTGACAGCCGTCAGAAATCAGGTATTTTAAGGTTGATATCGTCTAGGCGAAAGAAAAAGATTGTAAATAAAACGGTGAGAAACCACAAAAACACCTGGTTAATTCGTATGATTTTTTAAGAAGAAACTGTGGTCCTATGAATAACTTGCCTGTGTGAGAATATATCAGTCGCAGTTAAAATGAAAATGTAACCACGGAACGATAGGAAATCATACAAAACAGATTGGCAAAACTACATACCTTGTAGCGACGAAGATCCGAAGAACGCACCGTTACAGCCGTGTTGCCTTGTCAATCATTTAAAGTTTGGTTATTGGACTACTGGCCCTTCAAATTGCCTTCATTCAAAAGTTGGTTTTTAAAAACGTTATGTTTTGTTAACAAGCGGAAATTTTAATCTTTGTTCATTAAATCACTCAACGCTCTGTGACTTTTGCAATTACGTTATAAATGATGTTGACGAAGTAATATAATTTGTGCTTTATTATTTTGTCACTACGTGCCAGTTTCCTTTTGTCATAAGGCCACAACTACGCAACTGATCCTTGTTTTCTTATTATTCTTGATTACAAGTTAATTTTAGGTTGTCAATGTCAAAACGATAAGAATTTGAAAGTGAAAATCTGTACAAGGCAGGAGCGAAAACAGGCCACAAAAGGCAAATTCTTTGCGATTTCTGTCCTTTTAGAGCCGATCTACAATTTTTGCCGACATTACACTGATTTTGGCTTGATTCTGCGGAACTACAGCTATTTATTAGTTAGATAATGTCTTCTGTAACTTTGTTAAAATTGTTGAGTGTCTCCAGCATCAACGGTTGTCTCAAGTTAGACTAGTTAAAACGGGCAAGTGAATTCTAAAATCGGTTATTAATGGACCCAAAGGCTGGCCGATGAAAGGCCTGATCTAAACGTATCCGCGTGACAACATAATGAAACCAGGTCTTGTACTGAGTCAATCACGCCTAATTATAACCATGTAAACTTTACTGGATACCGAAAACATTCATGGCAAATACCCGTATTTAGGCATCTGAACATATCAGTTCAGATGTGATGCTAATACTATCTCAAACAATGATAAACCATGTCGAAAATAGTAGATAAATAGTCCTTAACACCGCACGCCATCTGAGTTTTAGAGGGGAAAGGATGAGATAATCGTTCGTTAACGTTGAGCCTGAGATTGCTCATTTCAGTCACACGATCAACGAACGTGCCTACAGCCAATCAGTAGCGCTTTGAAAAACCGCAGACTACTTTTTCAACAAAATTCTGAGGGATTACACACCAATTTTACTGGGTCTGCTGAAAATTAGGTTGGCACACTGAGGCTTATATACCCTTTCACCAGATTTAAGGTTTTAAAGTACAAACCCGACTATTTCAGCATTAGTAGGGAACGAAAAAGTCAGTACATCAGGTCTGAAGTGAGATTTAGCTCAGCTAGTAGTCTCGCTGACTGCTGAATGTTTAGACCCTTGGTTCAGAAGTTGACAGCGTGAAGGTACTTAATTCACTTGGCTCCAGAATATTAATCCTTACAACCGGAAGATTCTGATGGGTGCAATAGTTTGATGTTCACATTTTGATTTGTCTACTTAGTCATGCTGGACTACATGACCGGGTGTTTTAAAAGAGGTGCTACGGAAACTCCTTACATTATGCGGTGTTTATTGTACGGTTGTATTTTAGTAGTAGCTCTGATTTTGATGGCGGTGTATTCTCTGAGTTGGTTGACTTGTGCGTAAAACTTTCACTTCGCATTCACCACCGACATTACTGATTTGAACTAGGTAACCCAGAGGCGTGCCACTATGAACTGACATGTGGCGGGTAGTTTTCGCTGATCACTGAGCTCCGAGCGTTCAAATGCGCATCGCTTTTTCTGTTATATGGAGGACCGGTCGACGTCCATACACCCGTTGATTAATGATTGAGGCCTATGAGTATCTCCCGATATCTTTGTGTTCCCCATCCTAGATCTTAAAGTACATGAAGTTGAGTCCAGTTCCGTGGTTGTCCATATTCACTGATATCGAAGGTGAGCCTTTATGGTGTTTAATTCCTGACTGCCGCTTGCGCAAACGAGTGAAATGACAGCAACCACCCAGTTGAAAGGAGTGTTAACTGTGGTGGTTTGGAATAGTAAATTGTATGAATACGCGTCGTTTTTACGTGCAATATGTAAGTGATATAGTTCTCAGCGAAGCTGAAAAAATGTGAGAGGAATGAATCGTCTCGCCATGTACGCTCTTTTAAAGTATGCGCTTGACTGAACTTTGCTGGTCACAAATATTAGGTAAAAACCGTCTCTCTACACGACGAAAGTGTAAGGTAATACGAGTTGCATTACTCGGCATGGGAAGTAATCTGGCAAAGGCGTCTAGGCCTCAATATTCTCCAGGCAATATGCGTCACATGATCAGCAAGAGTACACAGCATATCAGCTGTCTGGCACAAACGAAACTTAAAACATGCGAACACAGTAAGTTTGTGCTGTTCACAGATAGTATGCCGAAACGGATTCAAAGATTGGGATAAACCGTGAATTTGGGAGCGGTCTTGTTAGGTGTCAAGCAGCATGCAGTGATTTTCAGGCTTACATTGGAGCAGCTTGAATAAATTGGTCTACAATTGCCACCGAATCCGGCAACTGTTTCATGTCACGTCCTATGACTTGCAAAGTTTCGTCATAAAACCATTCAAAACTCCCTCAAGGTCAGGCCCCACGTAGGTTCAGTTTAGGTTCCCTTCATCACACGAAGAGTGCCTGTCGATAGGTGATGAACTTTCATGTTGGGATACAAACAACACTTGGTACCAAGATTTCCAAATGAAATTACAAGCAGAGAGAAACTTTCAGTGAAGCGTCAAAAGAATATTTAGGCAGTAATTGCATGGTGAAGGTGTCTATCAGAAAGAATAAGAAACCCAGATGCAGGCAGATGTGGAGTATGTTAGGTCAAGTCAATCAGTCATGAAATGTGAATAGAAAAAGAAAAGAAAAGCAAGTCACAGGAAAATGCGGGGATGTTTGCACGCGAATTACCCGTCTTATCAACAATAAGCTGTGATGGTACAACAGTCAGCGACTTTCAACCGTGAAATCATGGTCTGAATGGAGCAAATTAGGAATATGGAATGGCTACATGTCGATGTTCCGCCCTAGCATGCGACTCCTCAGCGGTGCACGCCCATGGTCCCACCAGAGATAAAACCCGAAACCTTCAGGGTCTGTGGCCAGCTGTCCAGTGCTGCGGGGTTTCCAATGTTCCCTCCACTGATATCAGTCCATGACTCATTCCAACCGAAAATTAATTTATTAACCTCCACAAGCCTCCAGTAGCATCAATTTAACGCTCACTGGTGACCAACTTTGAGAGGCGATCATAATTACAATAATATTCACTTCTGAATATACAGGCACGTAGCATTCTAACGGGTATGAATGGGTTTCTATGCAAATGACACGTATCTCCATGGGAGGCAATCTCATTCCCATCTATTCTGTCACGAGAAGATATAAGTGCTGCACGTTTATATGATTGGACATCCCGGCAGAATAAGTATGCAAAAGTTTGCAGGTTAACATTAACAGAAAACCAGGTTTGTGTCTTGAAATCACACGTAATACCTGGAGAAAAACGACTTGAAGCTAATACTTCATACTTTTTGCTTGAGATAATGATGAAAAGCTTGTGAGGGAGTGTATACAGGTTGTTTACTTTTTGTACTTCATTTATGATTCCAGAAATGTATAAGTCATGCATGTCAATTCCATTTCACATCAAAGATTCATATTCTTGCTGAGTATTACGACTGTGAGCCAAATACCTTCATTTTTCCAAATCCAGCGTTCAGAAGCAATAAACCTGTTTGACTGCGCCAAATGGACTCCCAAGACATCTTGCCCGTCTTTTTCGTGGGTCGTGACAGCCTCGTAGTCGGTAAGTGTTAGACTTCCCTGGTCGCTTTCGCGATCAATAAATCATAGGTTTTGATAATTATGAAGCTTTAGTCCGACGAACGTCCTTTGTTTCCGTTTGTTGTAGTCAGGTATTGTGAACTCAGCAACTATGGACGCCCTCCAGCCTTCCCAGGTTTCCAGCGTTTCTCCAGCCGATGTCAGCCCATGATAACTTCCAACCCTGTATCAGTTAATAAACCTGCATAACCCTCTGGACAAGGAACCACTGAGGGCTATAGATATCCCTCTGACTACGGGGGGATTTTACTCTGTAGGAGCGGAATGGTGGGGGCCATGGTGTAAAAACGAGACTTCGGCGTAGAGGTGTTAGCAGATAATACCAAGAACCGGCTACTTCCAGTAATACAACCTGGCATATTCTAACGCATTTTAGAGTCACGTGAGTATGCTATTCGGCAGACGATGGACGATCTGCGGCAGTAATACAGGCCATAAAATGGAGAGGAAACCGTCGGATACATGAGGTTTTCACCGTTTTAGATTAAGAACTTTTTAAGAAATGAGATGATATTGAAATAGTATGGATGCTTATTCTTAAGTTTCAATCGTTTTCGCTAACTTGAGGACACCAAGTTCCTGCAAGGCCATCTTTGAGTGCTTCGACTGCAAGGCATCTATCTGCAAACAGACTTCACTCATCATCTGACCCGAAGGCGAGTTGACAAGCTGCTTAAATAGTAGTACAGAAGTACTGCTGCGTGCGGAAACCGGGGGTCTGTTCTAGATCAGGCTACAGTATGGAGTGAAAAATTTGTACGTGACCTGTTTGTTGCACTTTTCTGTGACCAAAGTGGATGTGTGATTTTTACGTTCAGGAAGTGGTGCACATTTCCAAGCGGGCAGAGAGAACGGACTGTGCAAACATTTTCGCATGAGAACTGGGTCGTTTCGTAGACGAAGTTTCCGTAGAGGTCCAGTAAACGGCATGGTAAACGTATCTATGTGGTCTAAGTTGCCGGCGCTACCCAATGGTCACCTGGCAAAATGTTTCTGAATACGTTCACGTCACGACTTATCAGTATTGGTTATGCTAGAAAAAAGACCATATTCCACTGCCAGCAAAGTGGTTTGGCCCCATCGTATGGAAGTACTACGGATAAAACCGTGGTAACCTCCCACATTTGACGGTAATAACTCAGATGGGGATACTGAAGTCAAGATCACAAAGAAATCAAACACCTAAATCGGATAGTTGACTGAGAGTTTGGATTTCATAATCCCCTAAGCCCAGCGTGGTGCTAGAATAATTTTCGCAATATAGAGAACCCCACATTTTTCATGGTCGAGCACAAGTTGCCATTTCTCACGTTCGTCAAGTAGATTATCTAAATCGGCCTAAGATGCAGATAGACCCTAAGTAATTGCATCGTGCTGAAAACCGTAAGCAATCTTAAGGTAGCCTGCA